CAATGACATGAGACAAAGTATATGTGAATTGCTGTATGAAAAGTGAATTTACTCTGTAAATCTTCACCCAAATCAAAATAAAATTAAAAAAAAAGAAAGTCATCCACCTGTACTATTTCTGTTAGAGTGGCACAAAGTAACCAAAACACCAAGTGTCTAATTTTTTTTTTTAAATACCTTTTTGATGTAAATAACACTGAAGCTTAACCCAGTGGCCCAAATCCTTCAGTTAAGCCCCTTCTCTTGTAGGAGAGATTCCTTTCTGGCTGCTTGCTTCCTGAACATCAAAGTAGAAACATCTGTTTCCTTCTGGAGCCAAGAGTTGCTTTAGTTTTCTTAGCATCTTTCTGAAGTAATTTTTCATTCTTTCTCTCTTTTCCCTAGTCATTTTCTTTGTAAGACAAAGGAGACTGTTAAAACCCCTTCTATCTTCTCTCAGTCATAAGTCACTATTTAGTATTGTAGGATATCACTCTCAATCTAATTTCTCCCCTGTAATAAATTCTTTCAGGTCAATAGCTTATACAACACTATATATCAACAGGAATCGAAACAAATGATTTAAAACCTTATTGTCAGCTTTTCCAAGTCTGCATTGTCCCAGTTTCATTTGGGAAGGGAAAGAAGAGTGGGTTAGTGTTGGAGATGATAACTGGGGAGTGAAACCAAATGTACATGAAATGTTAAATGTAAAACAAATTCTGCTCTGTAATTTTGCACCAAAAGCACAATAAATAAATAAATAAACATTTAAAAAAATTTAAAATAGAGTATAAAGTATAAATATATTTTACAACAAACAGAGAACTGAAAACAAATAGGATAGTTTATTTGGTAACTTCGTAACTCAAACTTATAACCCTTGGGTTCCAGATGTGCATCAACCAGTGGCATCTGGGGACTTTTTTTCTACAAATCACCCTAACCCTAGAAATTCTTGAAAATGGGAATAGAAAATTTCATTTACCTACTTATTACATACGATGTATGTAACCTTAGCATAACATGATGATTAGTGACATCACTTCTATAATGCTTCAAACTTTTAAGCAAAGGCAGTATTAGTTCAAGATGAATGTAGGAAAGTGTCTCTTTTCTGTTTCCCTTTCTGTTGCCTTTGCTTATAGCAAAGCTAAAAGAAAAGACAATTGCCTGGAGAAGTCCTGGTGAAGTGAGAAGGAAGCACCCACTAGCCAATAGCAAATATGTGACGTCGCAGCTGTTTGGCTTCAAAAGCCATCTTGAATTTCTGTTGGCTCTGGGAGTCATGTCTTTGTCAGGGATAATAATCTCCTAGGAGCTCTGGTAGCATAGTGGCTCAGGCACTTGACTGCTAACCAGAAGGCTGGCGGTTCAGACCCACCAGCCACTCCTCGGAAGGAAGATGGGGCAATCTACTTCCGTAGTGATACTGCCTAGGAAACCCAAGGAGGGCTCACTATGAGTCGGGGCCGACTTGACGGCACATAACAACAACAACAATAAGCTCTTATGACATGACTTTTTCTTGCTAGCGCCTCCATTTCCTGATTTTTGCCTTTGCTTTAACATCCAAAGTGATTGTCAACTGGTCACATAAAAACTTTTCCTTGTTCAATAATGTTGAGTTCTATATACCTCATTACATAATATCTTCCCATATTATAAATATGGGATAAAAAGTTGTCAAACAAAGCAGGAGCTCTGTTTCTTAGATTGGTCGGTCATAAAACACTTTCCCGAAAAACACCAAGCTGGGGAGTCAATTGGCCAGGGTTCTAAAACTTGCTCTTTCATAATGAGAGCAAGTCACTTCACCTTCCTGGGTGTCCAGCTTTCTGAAAAATAGGAGTCAGAACTACCTCTCTAATGACTTTACATTACTGATAGTCAACACCCAATGTGGCATTGTGTTTAAGAACATGACTCTGGACCCAGAGTGCCTGGGTTCAAATCCTGTGCTGGCACCACCTGTGACTTTGACCGGAGTATTTAACACTCCTGTGCCTCAGTCTCTTCAACTGCAAAATGGAAATAAATAACAAAGCTCCTTCAAAAGGTTTTTGGTGAAAATTAAATTGGACAATGCTCTTTCCACAGTGCTTGGCACATAGTAAACACCGAGTAACTCTTAGTTGTTACTATTCTGTGTACTTTAGTATTTGATGTGCTTTTTCATTATCTTCCCAAAAGGGTGATGTTATAAACCTGGACTGACTTAACACAGTGTGGTCTGCAATACTAAGGGATTTAATTCATGTTATATATCTCAATGTGGAAAGGCAATTAAAACATCTGAGAATGATTCTTACCTTTTTCCAAATTCAATTCATCCTCTTGCCTGGCTTGAAAAGAATATATGGCTTTGCAAAGACCATTGCCGAGCTGGGCTACACCAGAGGCTGAAATTTGAAGTAAGTTGTAATTAGTCACGCTGTGTCAGTAGGCAAAATGAATGTGATTGGAAACTCTTTGGTTATTTAACAGCTTTAAGCAGAGTTTAAATAGATTGGAACTTTCTCAAAGGGAAAATTTATAATATTATGTAATATCCATTCCTTGATTCAACAATAACCACCATGCCATATTAACTATCTTGATGGTGCTGTATATATTACACAACCACAAAACATTATAATACAGAAAATAATAAGTTTGGAGAAAAAAAGCGGCTAGAGTGATACCGATAATGATAATAAAGATGATAATTTAAAAATATTATTTCCCACATGAACTTAGTGCACATCAGTTAGAGAATTTGTGTGGCATGTTTTGGAATACACACACCAGTTATGCCATTCAGACATAGGTAAGGGAATGTTGGGGGCATGTGCTCGCCATCATTATCCCTCAGTGTTTATGGATCTGCTTCTCAAACAGCGTAAAGGTTACTTTTTTTTTTTCTTTTAAATTGTGATTTGGGTGAAAGTTTACAGAGCAAATTCACTTTCCATACAGCACCTCACATACACTTTGTCTCGTGACATTGACCACAATTTACCACAATGCAACAGCTTCCCTCCCACTTCCTCTGGATAATTACCTCTTCTCTGTGTCCATCCCTCCATGCACTCCTGCCTCCTGAGCTGTCTCCCTGTGTATAAGCAGCCCTTCTTTCTCCCACGATTGTTCTCTCCAAGGAGTGTATCTACCTCAGGTACGTGTTCAACTCATATGGCTGTCTTTTGTTTGGCTGGAAGCCACAGATGTAGGTTCATTCCAGACCTGAAGGGCAGCTAGGGGCCATAGTCTCAGTGGTTCCACCAGGCTCTATCAGACCAGCAAACCTGATCCCCCTTTTTTTTTTTTTTCAAATGATTTTGAGTTTTGTTCCACATTGTTCTCCCTCTCTATCCAGGATCTCTTACATAGATCCCCCTCCGAGTGGTTGACAGTGGTAGCCAGTCACCATCTAGTTCTTCTGGTCCCATAGTCGTATAGGCTGAGGATCACATGGTGTAAAGGTTACTCTTTAATATACTGTGGAGTTCATAATTCCTTGGATTTTATTGAAATGCTTTTTTTGCCAATTGGTAGCATAGTGGCTAAGGCACTTGACTGCTAACCAGAAGGCTGGCGGTTCAAACCCACCAGCCACTCCTCGGAAGGAAGATAGGGCAATCTACTTCCGTAGTGATACTGCCTCGGAAACCCAAGGAGGGGTCGCTATGAGTCGGGTCCGACTTGACGGCACATAACAACAACAACAACAGTCAAGAAACTAGAGAGTCAAGGTTACGGTAATCAGAGTTGAAAAGTGATGGACATTGACATGTTTGTGTGTGTGTGTGCACATATATGTATAGTGTGAGTGTGGTGTGAGGAGTGTGTGTGTGTCAAAAGGTGAAGGCAGTGGGGTGTGGATAAACAAATAAATAAAGACAGATAACTGAATAAAGGGGCTGGGTTCAGTCCCAGTCCCAGATGTAGCCCTGGCAAACCACCCAGATCACCAGGTTTCTCCCAGAGGGCCATGGAAGTTTGGAGGAGGTTATGGAGACAGACCTGTCAAGCTCTAGGGAATGGCTTTTAGGGTGGTCATGTGAACAGCAGGCTATTGGAATGAAGTGGATGCCATTCATCTGACATCTGAAGTATCTCTTCATATTTTAAAACACTTTTCTCAACCTTCCACCCATCCTGACTCCTTCATACTTTTTGTACCACACATATACATATAAAGCTATAGGTTCCAGCAAATTAATTCTAACAAATTAATCACCCTAATTAGAATGTAAATATCTTCGAGTAGATATTTGTCAATGTTGTTCTTAAAATCAAACTTAAATGTAGTGTTATGCTTTACTGATAGGACACAACCCCAAATTATTCTTGGCATGGAGTTACCTAAAGATGATGAACTTGGTTCGCTTTGCCTGCCAGAAGTCTCGATCACATTCTCTAATCTCTTCATCAAAAAAGGCCGAGATGTTTGCACATAACTATGTGTCTGCTCCTGTTCAAGTAGTAAAAAAGGAAAAAAAAAAAAAAAGTCATTTTTAACAACATTGCTGTGGCATGCAGACATAAAAAGTAACTCTTTGTACCTGTTTCCTCGAGAATTTATTTGTTAATTTCAAGGGTTATAAATAAATTAGTCAATATATTTCTAACCCCCACCATAGAGGTTTCTTGTTTCTGACATCTTAATATTTTTAGAATCAGGCAACTACTATATTTTATAACCTTTATTTGCAACTCTGACCTGTGTGGACCTATGTGGACCTCTTACTGGTTGTCACTGAAGTGACTCTGACTCATGGCAAGCTCGTGTGTGTCAGAGTAGAGCTGTGTTCTGTAGAGTTTTCAATGGCTGATTTTCCTGATAGATTGCTAAGCCTGTCTTCTGAGTAGTCTCTGGTAGACTCAAACCTTTGGGTTAGCAGCTGAGTACATTAACCATTTGTACTACCTGGGGACTCCCATATACCTCTAGGCCCAAAAATAATATTTAGTTTCACTTCTACAAATTTAACTTTAATTAGTTTTAGTACAGCTGAAACAATCACATTTCTGACTAAATAATTGAAACCATTTTAGAGCTCTTGAGCCACTTCGAAAGAAAACTGTCGTTTCATTACAAGATGGTTACAACTTGCCCTTCTGATACATAATGGAAAAGACCTACTTCCCATGTATGTTCATGTGTTCATCACTAATTCCTGGAGTGTGACACTGGGAAAATGCATGTGCATGAGTTTTAAAAATTGTGCTCATGAATTATCTGCATTTTGTACTATGTTAAAATAATGTAAAATCTCACCAGTTTTGCTTGTGTGAGTACTAAAATGTTCATTTAATAGAACATTTACTATAAAACCTAGTTTGAAAGACAAAGTTAAGCTATGAAGAAGAAGGGGAAGTAACTCAAGTGTTTTTAAACTCTCACAATAATTTTGTCTACAAAGAATGTATTCAGTTTTTTTTCAGCTCTTGTTATCGTGCTTAAAGGAATAAAAATTCCACAATTAGGATTTGGGATGCACAGCACATATAATTCATAACAGCTTTTTTTTTTTTTTTTGGCCCTGATGCTATGTTAAGCTACACCATTCAGCAAGCCCAGCCAAGAAATTGCAATCAATTGCTTCAAATTTTACCTTTTCTTTCCACTTGAAGATGCAGGTGCTACAGGGATGTCTGGGTTTAGCTCTTTGCTCAAGTTCTGCTAATACTGATGACAGCTTATAGGCATTCGCTTGCAAAAGGTCTAGCTTCAAATTGGTCTGTGGATACATTCATTTGGCCAATATGAGTAAATTTCTAGAAAATGAGGCACAACTGGGTAGGTAAAAGGATATCAGGAAAACTTTCAACATGACAAAAAGTCCAGAAAACATACACATTCAATTCATATATGGATATGCAAAGGAAAAGCTGAAGAGAGAGAGAGAGAGAGAAAATCCTTTAAGTAGTCTAAAGGAAAGCTTTAGTTGCTAAGTATGTCTTATTCTAGACAAGACAGGGTAAAACAAAACCTTGATATATGTCTCTCGGTATTTTGTGGCAATAAATAGCTTTTCTCAATTTTCATTTAAGTAATGAAAAAAGAGAGTAAGCGTCAACTGCAGAAAGTAGACTTTAAGTTGGCCATGAAGGAAGGCAATTGAGCCATAGTGAAAAAAACTGAACTAACATCAATAGAATCAGACCAAAATGAATGTGAGGTGGGGCTGGGGTCTATATTGCCCAGAAAGTTTGAAGTAACACTTCCGGACATTGGAAACAATATTCTGGGTATTTCAGTCTAAAAATAAGTAGTGAAACTGAAGATATACTTCCAGTCTCTTCCTATTCTTAATTTCATATTGAACTAGGAACTTTGCAATTACTTATTTGTCAGTTTTTGTCCAGTCAAGGTAAACGAATAACAGAATGTAAGCATTGGAAAGGGCTTAGAAGCTTGCTTTTCCTGCCTCCTCTTCACCATTGTCGCTCCCTTCTCCATGCCTCCAGCATGGGGATTCCCAACTAAAACACCCTTGTGGGTCACAGCCATGGACTGAACACTTCCAGCTATGAGGAGGTCCCCAATCTTTTGAATAATCCACTGCACTGTGGGGCAGAATTTCCTCAGATAGAATCAAAGCTCTCCATGTCTTCTGTCATCAGACTTAGTCTCATTTGAAAGCATCATAACATGTTGTCGTTGACTTGATTTCAACTCCTAATGACCCTATGGGCAGAGTGGAACTGGGTTTCCAAAGCTGTAAATTTTATGGGAACAGACTGTCATATCTTTGTCCTGTGAAGCAGCTGGTGGGTTTGAACTACCAACTCTTCAGCTAGAAGCCAAGCACTTAACCATTATTTCCTCATACATATGGCACTCTTTCTGGCATCCAAAGACAGTATCTTATGTAAATACCCTCAGAAATTTAGCAATAATATCTCATATGCCATGCCTTGCCAACATTCTTGTTTTAAATATGACACTTTAAGGAACAAGAAAGAATGAAACAGGAAAAAAAATTAATCAAATACAGTTTCTTCCTCAAAGAACTTTTCTCTGGGTAACACAAAATTTACTAATCTCACCAGTTTCCCTGACCCAGACACAGAGCATGTGTAGTGAATTTACATGGGTATTTGGCAATTGCTACTTGAAGGTTCATACTTGCGCCTTCACTTGATCATAAACACCTGAGTTCATGGTTCAGGTCCTCTCCCATTTGCGTCCTCCACAGTGTGACTCAACCTGCTGTGTATTCAGATGATACTAAGGCACATTCTATGCTGGTAGTGACAACAACAAAGTTCTGTACAAGAACAACCCCAGGAATAAACTTTCAACACCAGCACAAAACGTTCCTTGTGACCTTAGTTTGATAAATATTATGTTTTAAATTTCTTAACTGAACATTTTGTACTGTCACAGAGAATGTCCCATAATCTGTTTTATCATTTCATAAACATTTCAGTTGTGTGTCAATGCAGGTATGTTAGAGCTCTGTTCTCAAGTGAACAGAATGAGGCTGGTCTTTCTTTTCACAAGAAGCATGAAGTTCATCTCTACAGCAGGATGCCCACTAAGAGAAGCCTGTGCTCCAAAATTGATCAATGGTAATTGGTCACATATGTCTGATTTCACCAAAGAATTTTTAAAATTCCAGTTTGGGCAGAATTATTAGACACCTACTTTCATAAGAGAGTTATGAAATGTACAGTGTAAGGAAAGCAGGCAGTTTCTTGCATCCTTCAAGATTTTGCTAGAAATTTTTTCTTTCTGAATTCTTCTCAGGTTAACCCCAGGTCACTTCTGATCACTCTAATCCCAGCACAAACCTTATAGCCTGCACACATAAGTAGCATTTATCTATTTTTTGTGTTAGTTCTATATAAAGTTCTTTTTTTTTTACTTCCGTAGTGATACTGCCTCAGAAGCCCAAGTAGGGGTCACTATGAGTCGGGTCCACCTTGATGGCACATAACAACAACAATGACAGAAGTATCCACTTAATGTGAATTCCTCCAAAGCAGCTACAAGGTCCATCAATCTCTACAAATGTCTGTGGAGCCTTGGACAAAACAGCCTGAAGACTCAGCTCCCTGGCTACCTTCTCTGTCACTCCCTCCCCCTAAGAACCTCTTAAGTTGCTCCTTGGTTCCCAGAAGCTTTTCCTCACACCCTAGACCTCCTTCTTTATCTTCTGTGCAGCCATGTCTTTCATTTCTCCTGTAATTCTCTGAGGACCCTGGGGGATGAGTAGAAAATAGCATCTTAATAATAATTAGCAGTTTGGAAGCTCTTCTTCTGGGCCAAGCACTGTGCTAGCATTTTTAAAACAATATTTCATCCTCACTAAAACTCTATGAGGTAGGTACTGATATCCTCATCTTCCAGATGAGAAAACTAAAGTTGTCCTCCCAAAAAACTATTTGTCATCAAGTTGATCCAGTTCATGGCAACTTCATGTGCTTCAGCGTAGAACTGTACTCCGTAGGGCATTCAAGCCTATGACCTTTCAGAAGCAGATGATCAGGTCTTTCTTCTGAGGCACCTTTGGGTGGTTTCGAATGCCAAGTTTTCAGTTAGTAGCTGAGTGCTTAACTGTTTGTACCAGCAGGGACTCCAAAGTTGTCCCAGGTCCCTGTAATTGGCAGGGCTAGATCCAAATATAAGACTTTCTGGGTGCAGATCCTCTTTTAGGTCACTTGTCTTAACTGGGTTAAAGTACACATTGTTTCCAAGCCCTCAAAGAATGACTCTATTTTGGAGGATTCTATTTTAGGCACAATTCTTTCCTACCAGGACACTAAACATTTCTAGATAGTTGGATTTTTCCAAATCCTTCAACCTTCTTGTTGAGGGCTTGACCCTATAAGTTGACTAGATCATTCTGTGTCATGAGAAACGGAAGGCAAAAAGAGGTGAAATGTGCCAGGAAGCAATCTTTCTAAAAACAGCCCTTTCAACACTAAATCTAGGAAATTGCACTCTGCAAATATTTACCTCATCCATTAATGCGGCCGTGTCTTTCTGGCTCTTTCCATCAGAGAAGGAGGAGTTGCTAGAGTATGCATTAAGCATTCGTTTCAGGCCTGAAATAGAATCATGCTTTCAATCACAGTTTATCCTGCTTAGTGTGATGCAGCGGGGAGCTAGTCACAATCAGAGAGAGACTAAACCCAGGAGTGATTCCAGTGAAAAAAAAAAAAAAAACTCACTGCTGTTGAGTCGGATCTGACTCATAGCGACCCCTCCTTGGGTTTCCGAGCTGGTATCACTACCGAAGTAGATTGCCCAACCTTCCTTCTGAGGAGTGGCTGGTGGGTTTGAACTGCTAGCCTTCTGGTTAGCAGTCAAATGCCTTAGGCACTATGACACCAGAGCTTCTGTGATTCCAGTAGGACTTCCTAAGTGGCTGGGCAGGTTTCTGCATACAGCCATTACTGTATTTTACAGAATGGATGACAGTTAATTCATCTTTAGTTTCATTTAATGAACATTGAAAAATGCTAGTACTTAAACTGTTTTTATTGCTGTTCTTATCATTATTTTCCAAAATGAATCCCTTTTTGTTGGCTCACCCTATGGTTATTCCTATCATTACCACAATACCAGGTTCTTCCTCACTACAGTATTTATATTTCAAAACATTGTGTTATCTTGGATTTCCTATCAAGTATGACATTGCAGTATGTTACTCTGGGCCACAAAAAGCAAGGCATACACATATTCCAAGTGTTATGTACGTTTTATTATCTGTATCATTTTAGACTTACTTAACATTCTAATAGAAAAATTGGTACAGCCAGAACAGACAAGGGGAGGGGCCAGCCAGGAAGCAGGAGTGGGTGGATGGCCAGAATAGGGAGGGGGAAGCCAGGAAGTAAGCAGAGTGGTTTGACAGCTAAGGGAGACCAACTTGTCTATCAGTTTGTCGTACTGTGGTGGCTTATGTGTTGCTTTGAGGCTGGAGGCTATGCCACCAGTGTTTCAAATGCCAACAGTGTTACCCACGGTAGACAGGTTTCAGCGGAGCTTCCAGACTAAGACAGAAATGGAAGAAGGAAGAAGCCATGTGCTTCTCAAAGAATTGTCCAGTGAAAGCCTTATGAATAGCAGTGAAACACTGTCTGATATATTACTGGTAGACTTTATGAGTAGCCCTGAAACATTGTCCAACACAATGCTGGAAGATGAGCCCTTCAGGTTGGAAGGCATTCAAAAAATGACTGAGAAAGAACTGCCTCCTCAGAGTAGAGACAACCTTAATGATGTGGATAGAGTAGAACTTTCAGGACCTCCATTTGCTGATGTAGCATGACTCAAAATGAGAAGAAACAGGTGCAACATCCATTAATAATCAGAACAAGGAACATACAAAGTATGAATCTAGGAAAATTGGAAGTTGTCAGAAAGGATATGGAACACTTAAAGATCAATATCTTAAGAATTAGTGAGCTGAAATGGACTGGTTTAGGCCATTTTGAATCAGACAACCACACGATCTACTCTGCCAGCAATGACAAACTGAAGAAGAGTGCATGGCATTCATCATTACAAAGACTGTTTCAAGATCTATCCTGAAGTGCAATGTTGTCAGTGATAGGATAATAGCCATATGCCTACAAGGAAGACCAGTTAACACTACCATTATTCAAATTTACACACCAATCACCAAAGCCAAAGATGAGGAAATTAAAGATTTATACCAACTTCTGTAGTCTGAAATTGACCAAACATGCAATCACGGTGTGTTGATTATCACTGGTGACTGGAATGCAAAAGTTGGAAACAAAGAAGAGTCACTGGTAGTTGGAAAATTTGGCCTTGGTGATAGAAATAACACTAGAGATCACGTGATACAATTTTGCAGGACCAATGACTTATTCATTGCAAACATATTTTTTTCAACAAATGGCGGCTATACACATGGACTTTGCCAAGTGGAGTACACAGGAATCAGATCGACTATGTCTGTAGCAAGAGGTGATGGAGACACTCAATATCTTCAGCCAGAACAAGGCCAGGAGCTGACTGTAGAACAGACCATCACTGCTCATATGTAAGTTCAAGTTGAAGCTGAAGACAATTAAAAGAAGCTCAAGAGAGCCAAAATATGACCTTGAATATATCCCTCCTGAATTTAGAGACCATCTAAAGAATAGATTTGATGCATTGAACACCAATGACCAAAAACCAGAGGAATTGTGGGATGACATCAAGAACATCATCCATGAAGAAAGCAAAAGGTCATTTAAAAGACAGGAAGGGAAGAGAAGATAAAAATGGATGTCAGAAGGGATTCTGAAACTTGCCCTTGAATTAAGAGTAGCTGAAGCGAAAGGAAGAAATGACAAGATAAAACAATTGAACAGAAGATTTTGAAGAGCAGCTTGAGAAGACAAAGTCAATTATTACAATGAAATGTGCAAAGACATGGAGTTGGAAAGCCAAAAGGGAAGAACATCCTTGGCATTTTTCAAGCTGAAAGAACTGAAGAAAAAATTTAAGCCTCCAGTTGCAATATTGAAAAATTCTATGGACAATATATTTAATGATGCAGGAAGCATCAAAAGAAGATGGAAGCAATATACAAAGTCACTGTACCAAAAAGAATTGGTCGATGTTCATCCATTTTAGGAGGTGGTATATGATCAAGAAGCAATGGTATTGAAAGAAAAAGTTGAAGCTGCCCTGAAGGAATTGGTGAAAAACGAGGCTCCAGGAATTGATGGAATAACCATTGAGATGTTTCAACAAATGGAGGCTGCGCTCGAGGCACTCACTTGTCTATGCCAAGAGATATGGAAGACAGCTATCTGGCCAACTGACTGGAAGAGATCCATATTTGTATTGATTCCAAAGAAAGGTGATACCACAGAAAGTGGAAATTATCAAATAATATAATTAATATCACATGCAAGTAAAATCTTACTGAAGATAATGCAAAAATAGTTGCAGCAGTATATTGACAGAGAACTTTCAATAATGCAAGCTGGATTCAGAAGAGGACATGGAACGAAGGATATCATTGCTGATTTCAGATGGATGTTGACTGTAAGCAAAGAATGCCAGAAAGATGTTTACTCATGTTTTATTGACTATATAAAAGCATTTGATTGTGTGGATCATAACAAATTATAGATAACATTGAGAAGAATGGGGATTCCAGAACACTTAGTTGTAGTCATGAGGAAACTGTACATAGACCAGGAGGCTGTCATTCGAACAGAACAAGGGGACATTGCATGGTTTAAAATCAGGAAGGGAGTACATCAGGGTTATGTCCTTTCCCCATACTTATTCAATTTGTATTCTGAGCAAATAATCTGAGAAGCTGGAATACATGAAGAAGAATGTGGCATTAGGATTGGAGGAAGACTCAGTAACAACCTGTGACATGCTGACAACACAACTTTGCTTGCTGACAGTGAGGACAAGTTGAAGCACTTGCTGATGAAGTTGAAGACTACAGTTTGCAATATGGATTACACTTCAGTATAAAGAAAACAAAAATCCTCACAACTGGACAAATAAGCAGCATCATGATAAATGGAGAAACGATTGAAGTTGTCAAAGACTTCATATTACTTGGTTCTACAATCAACACCAATGGAAGTAGCAGTCAAGATGTCAGAAAATGTATTGCATTGGGTAAATCTGCTGCAAAAGACCTCTTTCAAGTGCTGAAGAGCAAAGATATCTCCTTGAAGTCTAAGGTGCACTTGACACAAGTCATGCCATTTTCAATCACCTCATATGCATGTGAGAGTTGGATAATGAATAACGAAGAGAGAAGAAGAGTAAATGCTTTCGAGTTGTGGTGTTGGCGAAGAATACGGAAAGTATCATGGACTGCCAAAAGAACTACAAATCTCTCCTGGAGGAAGTGCAGCTGGAATGCTCCTTGGAAGCGAGAATGGCCAGACTTTGTCTCACCTACTTTTGTCATGTTGACAGAAGGGACCATTCCCTGGAGAAGGATCTCATGCTTGGTAAAGTGGAGGGTTGACGAAAAAGGGGAAGACCCTCAACAGGATGGATTGACACAGTGGCTGCAATGATGCACTCAGGTATAGCAAGGATCGCGGGGCTGGTACAGGACTGGGCAGTGTTTTATTCTGCTGTACATAGGGTTGCCATGAGTCAGAGATGACTTAACGGCACTTAACAACAATAACAAACATTCTATCATGCTTGCCTTCTAAATATAGGGTTGAATATGAAAAATTTTTACATTATTTAGAAGTTCGTTTAAAAAAAAAAAGGAAAGAAACAAGCAAACAAAATCCAGGAGATAGTATGTACCAGGAGATATCTGAATAGAGCACTGAACACAGAGTCTGTCACATAGTTGCTGCTCAGTAAATGTCAACTATTATAGTTGAGCAGGAAACATTTGTGAAGCACCTATGTATGTTAGGTTATATGCTAGTTGTCTTTACATATTTTAGCCCTTTTTTGGATGAGCTAACAGATGCTCCAAGGTTAGGGCACACCATCTCAGCCTCTAGGAGCTCCTTCTGAGAGGGAACTTAATTGTCATCTTTGTTGGGATTTGATAGAGGAAAGGTGTTGCTTGACTTCTTCTCTACCAAGTTCCTGGTATAGCTTTTTCTTCATCAGGAGTAAATAGTTATCAGCAGAGTACATTAAATTAAATTGTCTCTGAGATATTTATCTTTGTTCTTGTTGACTAAAGTGGCATTTATGGCAGGCATACCCAAGTCAGTATTTAAAAGAGAGACTGAACAGGAGATCTAACCAAGCTCCACGATTGCTAGACCAGCTGCTTCTCACCAGTATATACTGCTTTAGAAACAAATATTGATTAAACTGTCCCACTCCAAATATATCAGGACAAAGAATTAGTTGGGCTGTATTCTTGAAAATGTCCTCAACAGGAAGAGAAGTTTATCATGTTTTAAACCAAATGAATTGATCCTCATTCTAGCCAATTTCCAAAAACAGTAAAATGCTATATTTCTGAAAATGGTAGTATAATTTTCATAGATTCTTGTAAAAAGGCTCAAAATGTTATTTTTCATTTTTTCCCTTTTCTTTCTTCTTTTTTAATTTTTCCTTAGTCATACAAATTAGGTTTGATATATGGTTCGTTATATGAGCTGATCCTTGACCCAGTCTACAAAAGCAGAATAATCCTAATTCTGAATGAAACTTCTAGTATTTTCCCTTATTGGTCCATTCAACATGGTAACTACACACCTTCTTTGTCTCTGGAAGCTTTTTCAATATCTTTTTCCAGTCTCAACAATTTTGATTTTATTGAAGACTTTCGTCTCTCTTTATCCATTGCATTGTTAGGATCTTCTTCCTTTAGGGGAGAAAAAAAAGGATATTTAATAACAGGAAGAATGGACGTGTTTTTACTCCCACTTGTACTGAGATTTTCATTGATTGTATTTAATATTTAGTTTAAGGAAGAAGAAAAAGTAAAAAAAATAAAATAAAAACTAAAAATTACTCTTTGGTTTTACACAGATTGGCATAGTCCCACACCTGATTAAGAAGAAGAAATCCCCTTTTCTGCAACTTATAAATACATAACTCAGCATTTTCTTTCATAGAATAAACTACTCTTGGAGGATAAGCCTTATATAGTTATAGCACAGTTGCTTAATAAATCAGTCTACTTGTTGGATACTTACTACTTCTTATTTACCTTTGGAGTCCCTCAGGGTACAAACGGTTAATGTGCTTGGCTACTAACTGAAACATCAGAGGTTCGAGTACACGCAGAGGTGCCTTGGAAGAAAGGCCTGTGATCTACTTCCAAAAAGTCAGTGATTGAAAATCTTATGGCCCATAGTTGTACTCTGACACATAGGAGATCATCATGAGTTGGAACTGGCTTGATGCCAGCTGGTTTTGGTTTTCATTTATCTTTTTCAAGTTAGAGTCCTTCAATGACCTAAATGTCATATGTACGTACTATGCAACAAATCTTTACTGAATTCTGTATTGGCTGGGGTCTGGGAACACATAAGCTATGCTCTGTACAGAATAGGTTTATAGTTTCGCTTAGCCTTGAAAGCCAACAATAAAGAGAACTTACAATGCAAGGCCACATTCATTCAATTAGCATGAGTGGTGCAGATAGGAGTGCATGGCCTATTGGACTGGAAACCTTCAAGCAAGTGAGGAGAGTTAACCAGCACTTTTTTTTTTTTTTAATCAAGTAGGAGGAAGTCAAAGGGTAATCCAGATACATAAAGTGTGTAATCAAAAGACAGACTGTGTAAAGTGTATCAGGAATATATAAACTAGTTGGTTGAGCAAAAGTAGTGAAAGAAAAAATTGTCTAGATAGCTTCAGGCAGATTTGAAGGCTGGAGTGAGGATTCAATCATGTAGGCTGTGAGATTTCTGAGCTTTCACATGCATTATTTCAAAGGTTAAATGAAAAAAAAAAAAAATTAGGATGGTAGGTTTGAGATGGGGATGTGGCTGGATTTGTCTATAACAGAGGTCCAGAAACCTGTGCCTTTGCTTTTAACCAATAGTATATGGCAGAAGTGATGGGCTGTCACTTCTGAGATTAAGTTATAAGAGACTGTGATATCCCTCCCGGGCACTCTGGCTCTCTCTTGGCTAACTGCTTCTGGGGGAAGCAGGTTGCCATGTTGTAAAACACCCACATGGCAAGACATTGATGTCTCTGGCCAAGGACATCAGTTCAGTGAGGAGCACAAGTTGGTCAACTGCCATGTGAGTGAGCTTGGAAGTGGATCCTACCCCAGTAGAGGCTTGAGATAATTGCAATCCTAGAGACACCTTAATTGCAGCTTGTGGGACTGCAGCCCTGAACCAGAGGCACCTAGCTGAGCCACGCCTGCTTTCCCAACCCACACGAACAGTGAGATAATAAATGTGTTTTAAGCCATTAAGTTAGAGGATAATATGTTATGAAGCAATGACTAATACAGCACCAATTATTTATAGATCATGAAACAAGTCTGCCTGGTGTTATTGTTACAGATGACAGTATGAAGAGTCAGTCTAAAATTCTGCTTGGCTTTTTTCTCTTCTGGAAAACACCAAAGACATGTTTCTACTGCCCAGTTTGTAAACCACACATTGTTTGAACTATGACAAGTCATTTGTCTTTATTTTTCTTTTTAAAAAAGATGTTTCCTTTATAATTGTATCTTTTTTTTTTAACATGATTCTTGTACTACACAACTAGAGCATCTTCATTAATGTCACTTCCTTCCCTTATGTACTTACAAAGTAATCAGTGAGTAGAAGCTCAGATTTTTTTTCTGTAGATGAAATTGCAGTTTCTTCTATTAAAGACTGAATATCTTTCTCGACATCTATCTTGCTGATGGCACAGTGAATCTGGGTGTGGCACTGCAATGCCGTGGAAAACAGAAAAAAAAAGTACTGTTTATGTGTTTCGTGCCAGTTCTTATCATGCGTATCAGAAATAGAAAAATCTTCACTACTCACTGTAGTCAAGGTTTGACCAAAAACAGAAATATGCTGGTTGTACTGGTTTAAGTTATTGCATAACAGTTGGATTCTTTCTTTTTCCAGCTCCAGGATGCTCTGAAAAGTATGGACAATGAAGTAAGATCAAAAAGTTATAATGCAAAACTGAAGTTACCCATCAAACATTAACCTGCATGAAGGAAGTCTGAGTAAACTGTCACGATTATTCCTCTCAACCATGTCATGGCGGAGTCCCAAGGAGAGGAGTGTGATTTGGTGTCCTATTTATCCATCTTCAGGTATGATATACGGGGTCATATATAAGGACATATAGTGGTTCAATGGTAGAATTTTTGCCTTCCATGCAGCAAACCCATGTTTGTGCATGCCACCGTGGGCAGCCACCACCTGACTGTCAGTAGAGGCATATGTGCTGCTATGATGCTGAAGAAGTTTTAGTGGAGCTTTCAGACTAAGAAGAACTAGGAAGAAAGGCCTGGTGATCTACTTTTGAAAATCAGCCAAAGAAAACCCCATGGATCACAATAGTTGGATCTGCAACTGATCATGGAGATCGTGCAGGCCCAGGCAGCATTCTGTTCCCTTGTGCATGGGGCCACAATGAGTCAGAGCCAACTCAGTGGCAGCTAACAACAGCAAGGGTTGATTTAACCCAAAGTTTTCCCCAGGCTTTTTGCCCCAAAAGGCATGTAGGCAGATACTATGGATCATCTGACATTCACAAAGAAAGGAAAAGAAAGGAGAAAAGAGATATCTAAGAAAAATCTGTGGGTCCTAGAGAAGAGGAGGTGAAGCCCAGTAAAACTAATGTCCATATCTTAGAAATGCACTCAGACACTGAATAGTTTCAGAATCATTTGTAATGCACACAGGCATTCTGCTAGTTTCTGCAAAGGCAAAGATGACGAGACACAAATTCTTTGCTCAAAGAAACTATTTGACAAGAGCAGAATCCCAAAGTTTGATCAATTTAGAATATTGGCCTAAAGTTAGGCCTGTGGGTCAGGGCTCACTTTCTGAAGGTGGGAACGTAGCCTCCTCATTTTGTATGGGCCGACTAAAATTCTCCTTAGGATTTCCTGACTTTTAGGCAGGAATGGAATGTAAGAAATTGAAGGGCATCACAGTTGTCTTGTTATTAATATTTTAGAAAAAAAAAATCAGTTATTAGACTTTGCCACTCACTGCTAGCTAAGTTACTGATTTGTTGTTTTAAGGGAATGGACCACCGAGAAGTTCAGGAATGAGACATTGTCTCCAAGCTGAGTCAATGGGAGTACACAGCGATGAATCCTGGGTCACATGGGGGGCAACATGGGGCTACTAGGAACGTGCCCATAGTATTTTGGGCTTTGACAGAGGTGTCAGGTGTCCAAGAGAAAGTTCTCTCAGTATGGTTTTTGTAAGGATAAGGCCTGGGCATTCATTCTTTCATCTAGAGAAGGCCAGGTTGGTTGTTCTTGTACCTATCATCTCACCTCACTGCACTTTGCACAGTAGAGGACTTAGCAATAGTCTTTTATGAAGAAGACTTTGGGCAAATGGATGGGTAACAATTACTATAGGAAGTAATAGGAGTCTCTGGGTGATGCAAATAATTAATGAGCTCAGCTGCTTACCAACAGGTTGGAGGTTTGAGTCTATCCAGAGGCATCTTGGAAGAAAGACTTGGAGATCTACTTCTAAAAACTCAGTCACTGAAAACACTATGGAACACAGTTCTACTTGGATACACGTGGGGTCACCAAGATTTGTATGGAGCTTGTTTTGAGGTCTTTGGCAGAGGTGCGGGTGGGGGCTGGAAAGTGTCACAAAGATTACCCTGTCTTTCTTGGCACATGTGGCCTGACCCAGCGCAGTGTTCCTCTACATCTTTACGCTGAGATTTGTATCCACATTCTGTTGTTCTTTCCTCTACGGTATATAGTCATTTTAACACAGCTATTAAATGCAAGTTGTAAAAGGCCCAGGCAGTAACTGTGAACATCTGTGCCAATAATATGCAAATTTAGACTTTTGTGCCAAGTGTCCTGACATTTAGATTGGAAGGCCTGGAGCTCTGCTCCACCATGGCTACCTTTCTAGCAGTGTCAGAAGCTGCACAATATTTGTAAGTCAATGGGAGCCAAATGCCTTTGATTCTGCTGATCTTCTCCTGAGTTTTTCTCCAAAACCACATTTCTTGAACGTAGCTGCACGTCCCATTCTGTCTCCCAGTGAAGGATTAAAGACACAGAGAAGCGGCCTATCAAATGTATTGCTTCTTCAAAGGGCAGAAATTATGTGCATCATAACAAATATGTAAAATAAACTCTGCTCAGTTGCTTGGACAATCTTCAAAAAGAAAGTGTTTTTACACCATAGAAAATCATCTAGAAAGCAGCTGTTCTAGTTTAGCCCTAAAAGCAAAGGATGGGAGAGAAACTAAAAGCCAGGTTTTAGGAACACATTGCATCCCTAATGAGTAACTGCTTTCTTTACTTTGACAAGTGTTGAACCACAAGCATCAATTTGCGACTAGAATAACCAGTGTCCCTTGGTGGAGATGGTAATGTTTAACAGATTTTAATTACATTTCAGGGAAATCATTAAAATGATCTATGTTTGCTCATGGAAAGAGGCTGGGATAGATTCCACTGTCCAAAGGGGAAATCCATATCTCATTTAATGAATTATTGTTTTCCATTATCTTGCTCTTTTTGTATAAAGTAAATGGTAGAGAAGCGATACTCTGGAGGACCTCAAACTGCCCTCTCATGCTTTTACAAGACCACGGACAATAAAAGTGGGGTCAGAGAGTTATCAAGAAATAGCACATTTATGAGTTGCCTGGGGCCCAATCATCACAGTAATTCATGCTCTTCATTCATTCTTTTCAGTTCTGCTGCTCAAGCGTTCATGTTTGTACTGCAGAAGGAGTTTGCAAGGACTTGATTTTCATCTAGTTTGCTTCTGTAAGACTGACCAAAGAAATATCATACTGTCTCTACAGAAGAGACTCTCAAACTTTAGTGTATCCAGGGATTACCTGGATGCATTCCTAAAATTACCCAAAGGTTCTGATTTTGGCAATGGGTTTGGTTTTGGTTTAGGGAGGTGGCGTAGTGATTAAATGCTCAGCTGCTAACCAGAAGGTCAGTGGTTCTAACCCACCAGCTGCTCCATGGGAGAAAGGTGAGGCAGTCTGCTTCTGTAAAAATTGACAGCCTTGGGAACCCTATAGGGCAGTTCTACTCTGTACTATACAGTTGCTATGAGCCAGAGCTGAATTTTAACAAGTAACCCCCTCCCTGCCCAGTGCTTGAGACATCATACTACTTTATGGAATTTAGAAAATAAAAAGAGTCACCCATAACAAGAACAGATATATGCACGCCGATGTTCATCGCAGCACTATTTACAATAGCCAAAACATGGAAACAACC